TTTGGAACCCACACTTGATCAAACACGTCAAGAAATTAGAGAAAGTACAAAGGTTTGCAACAAGGTTAGTTCCAGAGCTAAGGGGAATGTCCTACGAAGAAAGGTTAGAGGAAATCGGCGTGACGACACTGGAGGACAGGAGGGTTAGGGGAGACATGATAACAACATACAAAATATTGCGTGGAATAGACAAGGTGGACAGAGACAGGATGTTCCAGAGAGGGGACACAGAAACAAGATCACAATTGGAAGTTGAAGACCCAGATGAGTCAAAGGGATGTTAGGAAGTATTTCTTCAGTCATAGAGTCGTCAGGAAGTGGAATAGCCTAGCAAGTGAGGTAGTTGAGGCAGGATCCATACATAGCTTTAAGATGAGGTATGATGAAGCTCGTGGAGCAGGGAGAGAGAGGACCTAGTAGCACTCGGTGAAGAGGCGGGGCCAGGAGCTGAGTCTCGACCCCTGCAGCCACAATTAGGTGAGTACACATGAACACACACGCACACACTGTATACAAAGCCCTGTTCTTATGTGCCATGTTAAAATTAATATTTATGGATCACATTAATAATTACAAATGTGGTAGACCCATGAGAGTTAGTCCATGCTGTATATAATGAGAGAACTTGCATCAGAGGATAAGAAGAATGATCCAGCATGACAACTGATAAACATCTAAGTAAAATTCCATGATTTGCAGACCACATGGAAAGTGAAATGGTCACCAGTTCCCACAGTTGAATACCATCTGACAATGATGATGACTTCATGTTCAGAAATCTCTTAACTAAATTACACATATCTTGAAGGAAAAAAAAGAGTATCTGGTGTAGGACAGAAAGTAATTAGACGGAAGGCAAAATAGGTAGTACTGTGTAATTTAACAAAACCAGTGTTATATATGTAGGCATCATTTGCATTAAGGCTTGTACTTTTACAATAGAATGTGAAATAAGAAACAGCTTTTGGATAAACAATGCTGGCTATGAGCAACATTAGATGGTTATGACCTGGCAAATAATCTCATGGCAAGTCTGATGTGTTCCAAGAACAGTAACAGTGCTGTCTCCCACAAATACTAATAGAGTAGACAACCTATTAGTTTCTTATATCAAGACCTTATAAGAACCCTCTGACGCCAATAATTTTAGCCGTTATTTACTGCCTTGTGAAGTGGGAGCAAACTTCCTAGTTTTAAAACCTGCAGGATAGTTCCAGGTTATAAAATAGCATTCAAAGAAATGCAGTTGTTATTGTAATTTTACACTTCTTTGTTACTGTGGAATCCCAGGAATCACATCTTGAATATAAAACTTGGGTAAATTAGCTGCAGCTTGAATGTTCAGAATGCTTCAGTATGAGTAACTTGAAGCTCATGCAGGCTGGTGTGGTCTTGGGAGCTTCTGGAGGAGCTGGTGCTCTCAGGGAACCAGCTGACGGTTGTGCCTGCTGGTGTGTCTCGTCTGCGACGTCTCAGGGTGCTCAAGGTCCATTCTAACCCTCTACAAAGCCTGCCTCGCCTTGCACATCTCTCAGCACTGAAGGTAATAAATGCTGGTGATTGGGGCAACAAGTTGTCACTCTCAAGAAATGTAGTATTAATTGAGATTATTTTAAATTCTTCATTCAAGAGTGAGCTTTACCTAAAATCAAAATCTTTATTTCTAGGAAGCATAGTGCATAGAAATTACAGAGTGAAAAGTTCATTTTAGTTACAGGTTTGATACAGTTGTGACAAAATTATTTGATAAAATTGTATGCCCGAAAGATAGCCAATTAGTGTGTGAAGCATTTTGGGCAAACTAATCCTAAAATTATCATACTACTAGTTAATTCTAGTTAGGCATTCTTTGGCAGTATAGCATGAGTAATTCCAGCCAATCATAAAGTGGTTGAGAGTCAAAAAATTGGTAGCAAGAATAGACTTGGTGTTTAACCCTTTGACTGTCGCAACTCCCAATCCTGAGGTGTCTCCTGGTGTCGCAAAATTTCAAAAAAAAAAAAAAAAAAAAAATTTTTCTTATGAAATGATAGAGAATCTTTTCCCGATTGTAATAACACCAAAAAAACGAAATTTGATGGAAAACTGACGGAATTATGCTCTCGCAAAGTTAGCGACCTTGGCGATATTTACAAATCGGCGATTTCGCCCACTTTGAGCCCTATTTTCGGCTACTCAGTTGTTCCAGTCAACCAAACTCATAGCTATTTCGTTAGAACTCCATTTTCTCTATCGATTGAGTACAAGAAACTGCCCATTTACCGATTTCAACTGCCCAATAATGTGGTCAGAAATTTGCAATTTGGCCAATTTCATGAAAATTAAAAAATATGGCAATTTCAAAATAAGGTCCAGAATGAACAATGCAGACATTCCTGGTTCTAAAATAACATTTTCTTCGTTCATCAGTCATGTCTCCAGGCCCCTCTGATATTGCTCTTGCTTTCTATTTTGAATTTTTATTCAAACAAAAAATAGAAGATTTACTATTATGCAGACTACTGCAATACTGTAATAATTGTATAAATAACATCAAACCATTCATGACTGCATATTAGAATGGCTAGTTGGACATTTATTGGACAATGACATCATTTGTTTACTTTTGAACATTGGCAAAAATCAAACATTTCCCCTACTTTGAGCTCCTTTTCCAGGTTCTTTTTATAATAAAATCAATCAATATCACCTCTGTTTCTATAATATGTTTTCCATTCTATCAAATGAGACCAAGAAAACAAGAATACAACTATAAATACTATACGAAAATAGACCACAAAGTCGGCATTTTAATTAAAAAAAAAACGGTCGGAGTTTTTTTTTTCTCATTATGTACTGCGTGCTCCAGGATTTTTTTTATACGGTGCACACTGACCACACAGACCAATTCTCTCACATGTGGGCCTACCAGCTTTCTCCTGCTTGATTTGAAGCCGCTAGAATTTATGAGTATATATATGTCAAACACTGTACCTCGTAAGACGTATATATACGGCCGCGACAGTCAAAGGGTTAAAGGGGATTGGACACTTACAGAGAGTTCATATTAATTCATATCAGTTTATTGATGTACACTTTGTGGAGTGGCAGAATTATGCTGATGACAATAACTCTTGAGTACTATATTTACATAAATTATTTGATAAAACATTTAAGTAAGACTTAAAAGGTGTTTTTTAACAATGTAATTAAAGGTATTGTCAAATAGGGAAATTCTGGCATTTTTATGCAAAGTTTTCCATATATTTGGACCTTTTATGTGCAAGGAATCTTTAAATGGGTTGAGTCATATGCCTCGTATATCAAAGTGGTGCAGTATCTGTTGCTTGTAGTGTGCTTGTATTACCACTTTCCTGAAAGAGTTTAGTGTCTGGGTTAATGCTTGGACTAAGTGCCCTACATACATAGCCTGTACAGTAGTGTGTATGTATTGTATTGATGGGAACCAGAATGAATGATTATTCTAAGATCATATTTCTACCGAGTAACAACAGGTTTGAAGTGATTTGTTGTTAATTCCCATGTACCAGTGCTATAAGTGAGACAGGGATAGATTAGAGTAATACTGAGTGAGCAAGGATGTTTGAGATACATAGTTTATTTTTGAAAGAATGCCCACTGTTTTGGAAATATTCTTTGAAATTTTCTGGATGTGTGTTGAATTTTAATTTACTATCTAGGCGTATACCCCAAAAATTGCCCTCCATCCTTTTTATTGGTGTATTATTTATTCCTATGTGCAAATAAATATTTTGAGCTTTGTTTTCAAACATTATGTAGAAAGTCTTATTATCCTGGGTGTGAATTTTAGTTGTCATCCAGGTAGATATCTTTCCAAGTTCGACTTTTAATGTGCTGTTGGGTGTAGCTGGATCTGCATTTGAGATGAGAAAAGTTACCATCTGCAGACAGATTAGATTTAAGTTCCTATGAGGAGCAGCAGAAGTCCCAGGGCAGTCCTGTGGCATTCCCCTATGTTAATAGATTAGGTTACTGAAGCAGAGTTGTTAATGGTCATGTGTTAGTGTCTGTTGCTAAGGTAAGATTTCACATACGAGAGAAAACACCTTCTGGTTCCATAATGTTCTAATTTGAGCAGCAGGATGTTGTGATCTACTGTATCAAAGGCTTTCTTTAGATCAGTAAGAGACCCATTGGATATGCTTTATTTTCAAGAGGCATAAATTGAGTCGAACATTTTTATTATTGCATCATTGACGCTTAATCGTGGTCTGAAGCCAAGCTGGCAAGGGTTCACAATGTTGTTTTTGACTGAATTCATATATTTATGTATTTTTCAAAAATTTTTGCTAATACTGTAATGGCAAATTAGTTTGGTTTGTAGTTATTAACATCTGCTGGATCACATTTTTTCATGTTGGTGTGACACTAGCTAGTTTAAATAGTCTTAATCTGCATTATATTTCTTTGTACAGTACTAGCATGTCAGATCGTTGCTGTGCATTACCTGTGATTAACACTGTCACTCAAACTCCCATTCCTCTGAACCTGCTCTTTCATTCTTGTAATACTTCCTCATTTCATTGTTCTTTTGTATTTTCAGAATTTTAAGTAAATGTCAATACTTTTATTAGATTGATAAAGCTCATACCAATGCAAATTAAGTGCTGTCCTTTGGTAGTAATTTTTGTGCATAATTCTGTCTTTCTGTACATAGATTATATACAAGGTATTAGTGTCATATGGACAAATAATTGCTTAAGAATTTAAAATGTAGATAACACTCTTACTTGTATATACATTTCACAATAAATTACCTCATTTTAAGAAATTTTTAATATAGTACTGATTTTATTATATTTAGAGGAAAGTACTAAACCTGTATGGATCATCAGTGATGCTAAGAAATATATTAAATACACATTTTTTTTTCAACGCACTGGCCATATCCCACAGAGGCAGGGTGACTTAAAAAGAAAAACTAGTGAAGTAACAATCTCATCACTGTTACTCATTTTCAGAATAATGTAGTCTTAGCACTTGTATTCATTTCCACCTTTACAGATAAATTGTATCCATAAGTATTTACATATATATCTGCTTATAGGTGATGTATCTCACTGCACAGGTAGTTGATGCATCTCACTGCCAGTTGGGCCGCATTGAACTGGAGGAGTTAGTGTCCCCTGGCTTAGTAGCACTGGATATTTCAGGGAACACAGCGCTTTCCTTGGACCATCATCAGTTCACCAAATGCAAGTAAGAGACTTAATATTTTCATAATTTAACCTAAAATTTTAAATCTTCAGAAATTTATTTTGCTTGCAGGAAATGACAGAAATCGTACACCAACTCCGATCATTTCTGGAGTGGAATCACAGTCGATGGCCTCCACTCCAAAACAACAGATATTAGTGCCAGGAAAAAAAAGACCCTCCCCACATCACCAGTACCACCAATCTGACGACATTTATCTTTGCAAACATAGAGGGTCTAAAGTCAGCAGTGAACAACAAAATAACTTTCATCTGTGGCCTGCTTACAGAGTCAAACGCAATGTTCGCGGTTTTCACAGAGATCCACATAAAGGATCACTTGGACAATGAAATATGGATCCCAGGTTACTACCCATGCAGATGCAACAGAGTGAACAGGCAAAAGGGGGGGATTTTTGGCCTGTATATCACAGAGTCACTTATATGCTCAGAACTATTAAGTGCCTCAGGGACAGCTTTTGAAAATTGATCACTGTCTGGAAAATCTTCCAGCTCTTGCCCCAACATCTTGCTTCTGGGGATTAGATTTTAGATTTTGCCACTGAAGTGGCTAGTTTATTGTGCACCTAATATCCATCCTGTGGATGGTAGTGCAAGAGCATATGGATACATAAAAGGCCTAGGAACTAGGCCCCAAAAGGATTAGCAGGTGTATATATGGGTTTTTATTTACCTACATATCTACAGTTTTTACAAAGCAGAAGTGTTATAAGAAGAGCAGAGTATATGGAGAGTAAAAGAAAGGTAAAGAGAGTGGTGAGAGAGTGCAAAAGGAGAGCAGATGATAGAGTGGGAGAGGCACTGTCAAGAAATTTTAATGAAAATAAGAAAAAATTTTGGAGTGAGTTAAACAAGTTAAGAAAGCCTAGGGAAAATATGGATTTGTCAGTTAAAAACAGAGTAGGGGAGTTAGTAGATGGGGAGATGGAGGTATTGGGTAGATGGCGAGAATATTTTGAGGAACTTTTAAATGTTAAGGAAGAAACAGAGGCAGTAATTTCATGCACTGGCCAGGGAGGTATACCATCTTTTAGGAGTGAAGAAGAGCAGAATGTAAGTGTGGGGGAGGTACGTGAGGCATTACGTGAAATGAAAGGGGGTAAAGCAGCTGGAACTGATGGGATCATGACAGAAATGTTAAAAGCAGGGGGGGATATAGTGTTGGAGTGGTTGGTACTTTTGTTTAATAAATGTATGAAAGAGGGGAAGGTACCTAGGGATTGGCAGAGAGCATGTATAGTCCCTTTATATAAAGGGAAAGGGGACAAAAGAGACTGTAAAAATTATAGAGGAATAAGCTTACTGAGTATACCAGGAAAAGTGTACGGTAGGGTTATAATTGAAAGAATTAGAGGTAAGACAGAATGTAGGATTGCGGATGAGCAAGGAGGTTTTAGAGTGGGTAGGGGATGTGTAGATCAGGTGTTTACATTGAAGCATATATGTGAACAGTATTTAGATAAAGATAGGGAAGTTTTTATTGCATTTATGGATTTAGAAAAGGCATATGATAGAGTGGATAGAGGAGCAATGTGGCAGATGTTGCAAGTATATGGAATAGGTGGTAAGTTATTAAATGCTGTAAAGAGTTTTTATGAGGATAGTGAGGCTCAGGTTAGGGTGTGTAGAAGAGAGGGAGACTACTTCCCGGTAAAAGTAGGTCTTAGACAGGGATGTGTAATGTCACCATGGTTGTTTAATATATTTATAGATGGGGTTGTAAAGGAAGTAAATGCTAGGGTGTTTGGGAGAGGGGTGGGATTAAATTATGGGGAATCAAATTCAAAAATGGGAATTGACACAGTTACTTTTTGCTGATGATACTGTGCTTATGGGAGATTCTAAAGAAAAATTGCAAAGGTTAGTGGATGAGTTTGGGAATGTGTGTAAAGGTAGAAAGTTGAAAGTGAACATAGAAAAGAGTAAGGTGATGAGGGTGTCAAATGATTTAGATAAAGAAAAATTGGATATCAAATTGGGGAGGAGGAGTATGGAAGAAGTGAATGTTTTCAGATACTTGGGAGTTGACGTGTCGGCGGATGGATTTATGAAGGATGAGGTTAATCATAGAATTGATGAGGGAAAAAAGGTGAGTGGTGCGTTGAGGTATATGTGGAGTCAAAAAACGTTATCTATGGAGGCAAAGAAGGGAATGTATGAAAGTATAGTAGTACCAACACTCTTATATGGGTGTGAAGCTTGGGTGGTAAATGCAGCAGCGAGGAGACGGTTGGAGGCAGTGGAGATGTCCTGTTTAAGGGCAATGTGTGGTGTAAATATTATGCAGAAAATTCGGAGTGTGGAAATTAGGAGAAGGTGTGGAGTTAATAAAAGTATTAGTCAGAGGGCAGAAGAGGGGTTGTTGAGGTGGTTTGGTCATTTAGAGAGAATGGATCAAAGTAGAATGACATGGAAAGCATATAAATCTATAGGGGAAGGAAGGCGGGGTAGGGGTCGTCCTCGAAAGGGTTGGAGAGAGGGGGTAAAGGAGGTTTTGTGGGTAAGGGGCTTGGACTTCCAGCAAGCGTGCGTGAGTGTGTTAGATAGGAGTGAATGGAGACGAATGGTACTTGGGACCTGACGATCTGTTGGAGTGTGAGCAGGGTAATATTTAGTGAAGGGATTCAGGGAAACCGGTTATTTTCATATAGTCGGACTTGAGTCCTGGAAATGGGAAGTACAATGCCTGCACTTTAAAGGAGGGGTTTGGGATATTGGCAGTTTGGAGGGATATGTTGTGTATCTTTATGTGTGTATGCTTCTAGACTGTTGTATTCTGAGCACCTCTGCAAAAACAGTGATAATGTGCGAGTGTGGTGAAAGTGTTGAATGATGATGAAAGTATTTTCTTTTTGGGGATTTTCTTTCTTTTTTTTGGGTCACCCTGCCTCGGTGGGAGACGGCCGACTTGTTGAAAAAAAAAAAAAAAAAAAAAAATCTACAGTTCACTTATCTATTACATGTAAATTTAGGAAATTTGCTTAGTATATCTGGTATCTTATTTTCATTAATAAGATACTATCTTGACATGTCACATAGGTTATAAACCATACCCCCGGCCGGGATTGAACCCGCGGTCATAGACTCTATGACCGCGGGTTCAATCCCGGCCGGGGGTATGGTTTGTTTGCAATCGTGTCATTACGATTTCTTGAGTCACATAAGTTATTATACTGTCTCTGTATTCCTCAACAAGTGGACAATTAAGCACATAGTGTTCAAGACAATGACCATGTACCTCATCACATAATTTGCATTTAGTTTGATCATCATCTGTGTGTCTCCCAAACTGCCAGAAGTACTTGTAACCAAGCCTAAGCCTGGCCACTACAACATCAGTCAGTCTGTTCACATTGCTCCATAAACATACTTATCTACATTTATGTTATCGTAGTGGGTTAAAGATCTACTTAGGCTTCTAACTGCATTCCTATAACAATCATTTTCATTATTTACTTCTCTCCTAATATTTTTCCTAATGCTAGACACAGATAGTATACCAAAGTTATATTCTACATTCTCCTTCTGGGTACTCTTCTTGGCTAACATATCAACTTTATCATGAAGGAGTAATCCAATGTGTGATGGGATCAATACCAATTGTACATTAATTCCTTTGTCCATTATTTTTGAGTATCTATACCTGGCTTCTCCAGTGAGCATGTTGTTGGAGTCATTATATGAGTCAAGAGCCTTCAATGATGACATAGAATCAGTAATGATGATAGAAGCAAGCTCAGTGTCATAGGTTAGCTTTAGTGCCATTAGGAGACACCCAGTTGTTAATTCTTATGCCTAACTCAACAAATTTATTATCGTTCTTAACTAGGGAGGTGGCAACAAGAGCAGATGCAGCCCTGCCAGAAGACTCCTGTTTAGATCCATCAGTGTATATAACTTGTGATAACTTATTACTACCAGCTAGGCAAGAAATTTCTTCTTGAGCAGTTGCTTTAACAAGTGATTTAAGGAAGGGATTACTAGCAATGAGCTTCTTGGGAGGGACTTGCAGGTATGTGATATTAAATGAACACATCTTCCATGGAGGGGTGAAATGCTTTTGTGGAATTTCAGCCTAAGGCACCTAAAATGGAGGAATGCAGCAAATAACTCGCATGCACACGAGCTTTTAAATCTCTGCACCAAATTCACCTTAAACCAGCAAATAATAGAACCTACAAGATTAGATATTAAAAGCAATATACTCAGATCACAACATAAGAGAGGTTCAGACATGTATGCACGGGGCCCCGGACCGACAAAATGTGATCAGTTACGAGGGAGCCTTCACCAAATTGAACTTCAATAACTAAAGCACAAGGTGGGACCAAGTAAACCAAGTCCTAAATGATATAAACTGGGAAGATAGCCTAAGCAACACGGATCCAAACCTGTGTCTAGAACAAATTAACTTTGTGGCACTCGAGGTATGCTGAAGGCATATTCCTTTAAGGACAAGGAGAAGATGTAAGCTAGAAAGAGAAAGGTGCTCCCTATACAGGCGAAGGTAAAGAATAACAGAGTTGCTAAAAGAGACCAATATACCTGTAATACATAGGGAGACACTGGCCAGAGAAATAGTAGATACTGAACTAAAGTTAAAGGAATCTTACAGGAGTCAAGAAATGAGGGAAGAACTAAAAATCATGAATGAAATTGAAAGAAACCCAAAATATTTCTTTTCTTATGCCAAATCAAAGTTGAGAACAATATTCAGTATTGGGCCCCTACTTGACCCTTTGACTGTCGGTGTCATATAAATACGTCTTATGAGCGAGTGTTTGTGACATATTAATACGCCAAAATTCTAGCAGCTTCAAATCAGGCGGCAGAAAGCTGGTAGGCCCATATGTGAGAGAATGGGTCTGTGTGGTTAGTGTGCACAGTATAAAAAAAAATCATACAGCACGCTGTGCATAATGAGAAAAAAAACACTCTGACTGGAGGAAGTGCAGGAGATGCAACATTCCCCCAATGAAAAGC